TCTATTGGTCAAATAATATGTATTGTTTGTAACGATAAAAATCTGTACTATTAATTTTTACTATTATACTTTATATACAGATATAGGTTTGATTAATTAGTATATCGGCAGCCCCAATCGTTTATCTACATAGACTTAACTAATACTATCCAGACCACATAACGCGCTAAAATGACTTAACAGCATCAAGACTGTACTCACGCACTATAGGAGCACGAAGTAATGTTAGAAAAGAAAATATCTAAATGACATACATTAAAGATTAAGAAAAAAACGTAGACTTATCCCATGCTATCTAGATCTCATAATGTGCTAAATAACCTAACAATATTTAGCAACGTCATTAATTCGTTCCGGTATTGAACGGATTAGGTTGTAGAGAAGTGACATATATTTCCACAGATTAACTGGACTTTGTTTCCAATGGTTTCCTCATTCGAAATATTGAATAAGAAGATTCCTAGGATGAGATATATCTCAATTCACAGATATTGATATCAGAAAACTGGTGAGTTAGTCAAAAATCACTTGATTATTCCTAGAATTGATTGTTTTATGAAATATGCTACTGTATATATTATCTTACGAATGAATTTTATGATATTAAAGTTATGATCTAACAGCTAATAGTAATTATATACACTATTAATCTTGTAAATAATAGAATATAATGTTATGCATGTAATATAATAAAGTTATACATATATATATGTTCTACTTATAATAAAATAGCCGATAACTCCGTTCAAATGCTTGTTTATTGCGTCAATAAATACCAACCAATTTAGCAACCATCCAAATAGACATCCGATGCTTATCAATACAAACCCCTTTTAATACGGAGAGTTATTATGCATACTCCATACTTCGCAGCACGATATAAACCTTCTGCGGAAACAAGGTAACTAAAAAAAACGAATTCGCCAATTATGTTATCAAATTTTCTACATGTTAATTATTCGTATGTTTCACCAATTTTATTTTTATTAAGGGGAATATATTTTTTTAGGGGTTAAAATTTTCTATATTTGTCAATTTTTTTTTATTTACGTAATTTAAAATTATAGATTGTTTTGGAAAACAAAGAAAATCTAAGCGTTTATTAAACTACATTTGGTAAAAACAACGAAAGCTAGTAATTATTAAATAAAAATTCTTATTAATGTAAAAATAAAACAATAATAATTATACTATCGTGTGAACAAACATCATAAATAATGCATCCTATAATTCCATTTTAGAAATAAAACAATAAGTTGCAAACAAACGAAATATTTATACATATACAATATGATGACTATACTACGGTTGGGTACTATTACTATTGACTATTGTAACTGGCTGACTATAATATAGTAATAAAATAAAATGCAAATTATTAGAAATTACTAAGGTAAATTACAAAAAAAAACCCCGATAATCGGTGATAAAAAATACTTACGAGTAAGCAGCACATCTTGGACCTTCGGCAGTTTGACCTATAGCTCTGAGGGTAACAGTAATAGGAAGTGGCGTGCCTGGATCACAGGAAAAGTGAACAGAAGCAGACGCATAACCGGGTGTCATATCAATTCCTTTTTTCCATACAATTTGAATAAATTGATGACCTGACTGCAACATTTCACAGTCCATGCATGTTTTAACACTAGACGATGCGTCTTTCGCCCACATGACAGTAATGTTAGTATTGTTTTGGATTTGTATGGGCTGGTTGTATGAAGTATCATCCTTTGCATAAGGATATAGAAATCTGAACCCTAAAAAATAATAAACGGTTTCAATATATTTTATATTTAACATTGATCAAGAAAGCGTTTAAAAAAATATATATTTTTTTCACCTGAGCAGTATTTTTTAAGTGTATCTGAGCTGCTACCGCTGCTACCGCTGTCACCCCTTTTATTATTATTATCACGTTTATCCAAAACTACACATACAAGAAATATTTATTAATTTATGTTCTTTTTTCTGTTGAAAAAAATGTACTTTAAAGAATGCTTACTGTCAGTTATATCCGAATTAATTCCATAAGAAGCATAAATCAAGGTGGTGAAGATGAATAATAGTGCAAAAATCAATCTCTTGTTTGAAAGCATCATGTTTATTATTATTATTATTATTATTAATTTTTTTATTTTTTAACAAAAGAGAAAAGATATTTTGCAAGGAACAACTAACAATTTTCAAGCATATTTATAACAAATTATGATCTATATCTATTGAAACACTCAACACACGGAAAAGTACCGCCATAAAGGATGCACATCGTACGAATTAAAACGTATGGGGTATTGCAGAAAAATATCCTCTCCTAGCCAATTATACGTACCATATCTTATATTGCTTTTGCCTTTATTAATTTTCCTGCAATCGTTTTCACTTTTCATTTCAGGAGAAAAACGCCGCAAAACTATTTATTTTATGTAGTGCCTGAACAATTTTATGCAATTTGACATGTATTCTTTTATTCATATTATTTAAATTTATATTTGATTTCCATTGAGAGTTATTGATTTTAATTCTGGGAACACAATGTACACAATTAAATTACATACGTGTATACATTTAATCTTGCTTTCTGACTTGCATTGCCATGTAGTACGTGTTATCAATTCGGCAATTAAAATTAAATTTTACTAGTCCATACTCTATATGTATACATTATATTATTCAATTTATATTTGATTTTCAAAAAGTCAGAATTTAAAAAAAAAAAACATTTCAAATATTATAGGATGTATACCTATATACCTTAGTTAAAACTTTTGATTATAAAAATGGTTTTTGACATAGATAAAATTTAAAACAGTTTTTATTACATTAATTAGCAGTTCTAGATCCCTTCTTCGATCTGGTTTAAGACTCCTCGATCTAATGTAATTTACGATTACCCCTTATTCGGCAAAGTTTTTATTAAGTAAATGTATGTATAGTCAACCTTCTATGTAACAAACTGATTCTTTATGGTAAAAAAAAAACTTCAATATTAACTTGTTGCACTTTTGTGCTGAATTTAATTTTTTATTAAAAAATGTTTGTTCGTTACATATTAAAAAATTTTCACAAACATTTAATATCCTCTGTTACGCCCCAGACGATAATTTATGTAGGTTTAAATACCATTGATATGGTCAAATCTGAATCTATGTTTAAGTTTAACAATTAAATCTGGATTTGGGTATTCGAATTTTTAATAGCATAGATATCTTATGAAAAATTTTAATACGCATTCACAATAGAGATCTTTTTCGATTTTTAACTGTTTAGTTCGTCGAAAGTGCGTCGGGGTACGTCAAGTGTGCCCCGAGTTTGCATAAGGAGAGCATCTTTCAGTGTTTCGAATACAAAGTAAAATTTCAATATTATTATATAATTGGAAATTTTACTTTGTATTTGCAATGCAGGAAGATGCTCTCCTTATGCAAACTCGGGTTATATTGACGTACCCGACGAACTTTCGACGCACTAAACAAGGTAGGGCAGCTGTTAAAAAATCGAAACAGACATCCATTCTTTTTTTTAATGACCTTGGTCATATAATAAGACTTTTGATCATAAGCCATATTGGTCATATTAAATGCTATTAAAAAAACTTTTTTACAATGATTCGTATTATATCAAAAGATCAACCTTCGTTATGATCAAATGACTTATGACAGGTACAATATTGAGTCATTAAGGTCATCGGTCAACATTGAACCTTGTTTAAATTATAAAAATTTACAAGTCATGAGATAATCTACATATAGACTATAGGATAATTTTCCCCTGATTGCTTAATCGTATTTATTATGCTTTTTGAAAATATTCACAATAAAAAATAAAAACTGAAACTTTCTCTAACTTCGAAAAGGTGTCAATGCTAACTGCAAAAAAAAATCAAAAATCTTGAACAGAATTAAAATTTCTATCGTATAACTATTAATTTATATGCGTTTACTTCTTGAATAACAAATTTTACAAATACTGTAAAAAAATTCTTTATAATATTGCGAACAATGAGTTTTAGAGTTACTTAGTAATAAAAATCGTTGAAAGCTTTTGTAGAATCAAGAATATTGTTACAGTTGACACTCTATAATAAACCTTTCCTTTATAACAAATTCTGATCAAATTTAAATTTTACACGTGTTACTTCAGTATTTCTAATTCCTATATAACTACTGTGGCGCAATATATATTTTTCAAATGCAAACCAGGAAAGGGTCTTACAGTACACGTAAAGCGAGTTGATTACTATTGGGCATCGTCAATTAAAACATATCATAGTGATAATGCAATTAATTATTTTTAAATAGAATAATATAGAGTTATTGGATGCGAAGCAGCCAATAACGGAAATTATTTGGAAAATAATTTCATTATCTGGCTGTTAAATTTAATATGTCAGCTTCTGGGCCCCGAAGGGGCCCAGAAATGACATATTAAATTCACTGCCAGATAAACAAGTTATTGGCTGAGTAGCATTCAATAACGGTATTATCCAGTATCTTACGACGACCGAACTAACAGAATGACTCGAGTTATTTTGATGATGATTGCAATCATCATCAAAATAACTCGAGTTATTCTGTTGGTACGATCATAGTAAGGTGCCGGATAATTATAATTATTACATAATAACTATATAGCATTAAATTAACCAATAACAAATAAAATTTTCTTTATAGTGCTAGAATGAATTATATTATGGTTAGTATTAATTAAATTTAATACTAAACAAGTAAGAAAATTTTGAATGGTTCCAATTCCTACTAATAAATATACAAAATTGCCTTTATATACGTAAAAACTTCTTGGCAATTTTATTATGCATAGCACTCTATACGTAGACACGAATTAAAAATTTATCAAGTATGGTAATATTGGGAATAGTTCTATAATTATATATTTTAGTACGGCGGTCATTGATCATAAATTATGCTATTTATGTTTTTTTTTAAAAACCTCTCTAATTCGTATAGTGCAATATAATATAAGTATAAAACCCTAGTCATGACGAAAACGAGGTGTCGGGTCATGTGATTTCCGAACCATCCGGTCTGATATCTAAAAATCAAAACAATCGAAGACAACACATAAATAAAGGGAATCAAGGTATATTTAGAGTTAGGAAAGGCGTATTATATAGTTAAATTTTACACAAGGAATTTTTTTAATTAGAGCTTAGAAGGTGATCTCATAAGCAAAATTTCGAGTTATTTTCAATTTTTGAAAAAAACTTTGTAAAATTTCACGTTACACCAGATCCTATATTTTGATTGGTTGGTGATCATTCGGTGCGTCGGAAATCACATGACCCGACACGCCATGGCTAGGGTACTTATATAAGTATGGATGACATATGCATCGTGCAAAATAACAAGCATAAATGACGAATAAAAAGAAAGTGATTTATAACATAAATGGCCGTGCTATAATATAATAATATATGGCAGGGTATTAATAACCCTTGGTGAAAAGATGATTTATACTATTAAATAAAATTACACATATATCTAATTGTAACGTGGATGTCGTTAATCAAAATAGAACATTATTGAATAACATTCGCACTATGATATTACATCTATGTTACAATTAAATATATATGATTTTTTTTGATTGATGATGCCACAATGACATGGCCAGGGTGGTCTCCAAAGTTCGGGCCACGGGTCTGTTAAGCCACAAGAGGGATACAAACGAAATGCTGGATTGCATAAACACATAATTCTATGTGGCTTAACAAACTCAAGGCTCGCACTTTGGAAGACCGTGCCTACCATAATTAACTAAATTTGCATCATAACACTAGATGAATTAATCTTTGTACAATCTTAATTTGTTAAATTATGCGATATGAGCTTTATATATTGAGCTATAGCATTTATTAACACATCTACTCACATGAGTACAGAACCTGGCTATATAGTTTATAATAAAATATTTAATAAAAATGTATAGCGTAGCCAATACATGTAATAAATGCCACATGTGGCCAAAATACCATAAATGCAATTAAATCGTCATGATTCTACAATAGAATTTTTTTTTAAAAATAGAAGTTCTAAATCATAAAAATAAAATGAATAGAAACAATGTTCTTTTAATTGATAATTTTTCACTATTAAAACCAATATTCAGAAAATCTCTGCCACATTTTGGTATTTTCGCCTTCCAACTCAAAATTATTAAAGAGCATTTTAGAAAGATACTGTAATACTAGAAAAGACTTCGGGACTAATCTAATTCAACCACAAACCATAACAAATCTATCGAAAGAAGCACTTAGATTTGGCAAGTGGACAAGTCAGGCAAGAATGCCCTTTATTTATATTAAAATAAACAATAAATACATGAAAAGACAATCCAACTAATCTATCCAATATATCATATCTCTCACCCTTTCTTTCTGACTGTATGCCAAGATCAGCCTTTTCCCTCCTTTCTGAATCCTCAAAATACTAAAGAAGAAATGATTAATCTATTCAAAAATGATGCCATAGCTTCATTATGTGAGGTTTGGATAAAATAAAGCTTTCAGAATCCAAATTTCTGCTCTTCTGAGTAAATCAATTTTTTTTGAGAAATAAATTTTTCTAAAAATATAGTTGTTTATATAGGATTGGCAAAATTGATAATTTATAATTATAACTCTATAGTCTACAGTATATATACCGTAAAAATCGGACCCAGGTACCCCGGGTATTTTCATAATTTAAATTTGTACCCGGGGTACTTCTATATGGGGGGTACACTGTATAGAGTCAATATGTTTTACTATATCTACCTGCCATGATATATATAGTGTATATAATACATGTGTACCCGGGTATAAATCACCGTCTAGCTCTTGAAACTGGCGGAGGGTACACGGCATGGAGGGGTACCTGGGTCCGATTTTTACGGTATATTTAAAACTAATATATATATATATATTTTAAAGATGGTCTTGCCACTGCTTTATTATTTTGAGCAAAATGTATATATATTACAATGTTTTTATTTCTATCTATAGATCTAACTACGTATTTAACAAGGCATGACTCACCTAGTTTCCAATTGGACCTATGTGCGACTATACTTTTGTATTCAGCCTCCTTGAGTCTTTGTA